TACTTCTGCTGAGGGGCCCCCCCGAGCTGGAGGCACCACTGCAGGGGGGTCTCCCCAGAGCAGAGCGCAGCAGAGGGGCACAATCCCCCCTCGCCCTGCTGGCCACACTGCTGGGGATGCAGCCTGGGGTGCCGGGGGCTCGCTGGGCTGCGATTGTACATTGCCAGCTCATGCGGAGCTTCTCATCCCCCAACACCCCCAAATCCTCCTCCTCAGGGCTGCTCTCCAGCCATTCCCCCCCAGCCTGGAGTTGTGCCGGGGACTCCTTCTAGCAGGGGCTGTAGGCATGCACTGTGCTTGCCCTGGGATCTGCACTGCGTGGTCCTCGCTGCTGTTTTCTCCCCCTTCCATCTCCCTCTGGACGTCTCCTGCTGGCACGGCTTCCCCAGGGATGAAGGGATGGCCCTGCACACCGTGCCCGACGGATGATGCATGGGCACCACGTCCCCTGGCCCATGGGGAAGGGATGTGGAGGAGAGCTGGTCAAGGAAAACCATCAGGAACAAGAGACTTGTCTGAGAACCTGCTGCCCTGTCTGCTCGATGTTAGCTGCCTGAGTCTGCAGCGGCCGTGAGTCCGTCCACCCACCCCGGCGCTGCCCCAGACACAGGCAGGGAGTCGCGGCTCCCATTGCTGGGGGTCTAATTGCCCAACTTAGACCTGGGCATGGCCATACCCGCCGGCTGAACCCCTTCTCCCACAGCCTCTTCTCCTCCTCTGTGCCCGTTCCTGGTGTTTCCCAGTGGCTCCAGAGCACCTAGCGAGCCTGGAAAGCCCAGGCTGAGGAGTTCAGTGAAATCTAAGTTGTCTAACTCTGCCCTGGGGAGGCCACATCTGGAGCGCTGTGTCCAGTTTGGGGCTCCCCGGGTCAAGAAGGACTGGGAACTGCTGGAGAGGGTCCAGTAAAGGGCAACGGAGATGAGGAGGGGACTGGAGCATCTCTGTGATGAGGAGAGGCTGAGGGATGTGGGGCTGTTCAGTCTGGAGAAGAGAAGACTGATGGGGATCTTATCAACGCTGATCAATCCTTCAAGGGAGGTGCCGGGGGGTGGGAACAGTCTGTTTCCAGCGGTGCCCAGTGACAGGACAAGAGGGAACGGGCACAAAGGTGACCATGGGCAGTTCCATCTCCACCTGAGGAGGGCCTTCTCTGCTGTGAGGGCGGCAGAGCAGTGGCACAGAGAGGTGGGGGAGTCTCCCCCTCTGGAGCCATCCCAAACCCGCCTGGACGCCGTCCTGTGCCACTGCTGGAGGTGCCCCTGCTCTGGCAGGGGGTGGGATGGGGGAGCTCCAGAGGGCCCTTCCCACCCCCACCACTCTGGGATTCTGTAACCAACCTGTGGGTAACGCAAACTCCTCTGTTTGTGCTTCATTGGAGGGTTTTGACTGATGTGGAGGTGCCAGAGGTGTTCAGGGCGGATTTGGCTTGGAGCAAGGTCTCCTTCAGCAGCGATGCTGAGGTCCCGTGCTTGGAGCTGCGGTGCAGACAGGGCTGGACCCGATGTGGGGCATTATCAGACTCTGCTGCGTGGCTCCGGGACCCCTTGAGAAGCTGCTGGTCCAGCTCGGGGGGAGCAGCTTGCTCTGCTCCTCTGCAGAAGCCTGGCGGGGTTCGCATCCGTGTGCGGGCAGGGTGGCTTTGGTGGTTTGGCATCCCCCTTTGCCGAGCGGCTCTGGGCTTGTTTTACAGAGCCGGGGTGGTCTGCGGGGCTGCCCGGTGCTGGGGGCCCCTCTCCTCTTTCTCTCCTGCCCCTCCGAGGCTCTCTGCGTTTATAAATAACGAGGCATTGGCAGGCAGCCGCTGCCAAGATCATCACCAGGTGCCGGGAATGTGTATAAATAGAGTGTGCAGGCTTTGTCCTCCTTCCCACGGCGACTGCGCCCACCAGGAGCAACCGGACACGAAACCCCTCGTTGTCCCGTCGTGCCGAACTCCTGGGCAAGGCAGGGCTTGGGGTCCGCCGTGGGGTTTCCCCCCCGGTGCCTGTGCTTATCGGGCTGGCATCGCGGATGGATGCTCGTCCTCCTTATCAGCATGCGGGACTGGCAAGGGCATTGAACTTGGAAGCGGATCGGCAAG